TCAACATGCAGAGACTGGCTGCTGGTGAGTGGTTTACAGCTCGAGTTTCCTCTTGTGGATTGTTTCATATTGCATACCCAAGTGCTCCAGAGGCTCTGAAAACTGAATTAAGAACAATATACAGTCAGCTTTGCCAAGATGACATGCCCATGGTTAGGAGATCTGCTGCAACAAATCTTGGAAAATTTGCTGCTACTGTAGAAGCACCTCATTTAAATGTGGACATTATGTCTATGTTCAATGATTTGACACAGGATGGTATGTAGATTGCCTAGTTTATCTTTCTCGCTTCATTATGATCACTTGTTTTGCTGATCATTCTTTGTCGAATATATGCTTTAAAGCACTTTAAAAGTGATAAAAGAGCAGGATAAGTGATTTGAGTTAAACAATCCTGGTTAGAAATCATAAGGGGAGTGTTAGTACCTTATGGTGTTTTTCCTTTTAGAGGGGGTGGATTTAAGTTCAAACTTGAAGCGGCAGAGTTGGGAAAAGGGCTGCGTGCTGTCTCTTTCTAATTCTAGCCTTTCTTTTTTGCACTGAAAATTTCGAACATTGCATTTAGGAAAATTTCAACTTCATCCTTATATCTTTGTTCCTATCTTTTCAAAAAATTATACCAAAGGGTCTGTGGAATTTATCTAATGTTTCATGTTTAAAGCATAACTAAGGCTGATAATGCACTTTATGGGATTTTAGCCTTATTTATAAATGAAAGAATAAATGGCTCCCTTATCTGCGACCATTTAATATTTATGCCTTTTATTCTTCATAATTCGTTTTGCATTATTGTTTTGAGTTCATAATTTATAACAGAGTTTGAAATCCTTTTTGCTTCAATTTCTTGTCCCTGCAGATCAAGATTCTGTGCGATTACTAGCCGTTGAGGGTTGTGCGGCTCTTGGAAAGTTGTTGGAACCCCAAGATTGCGTGGCTCACATTCTCCCAGTCATAGTTAGTTTCTCACAGGTAGACCAGGCATTATGAATATTGTTTTACAAATATGTTCGATTCACTCTACTAGAAATTGAGTAACCTCTAAGCTTAAGTTTTGGTTTTATTTGTTCATTTGGTGAATATATCTTGTATAGGTGTTTGATGCAAATATTTTGCATGGTTTCTAGTTAATTATAAAGCATTTTTCTTGCTTCTTGAAGTGATATGTGATGGACATTATTGTTCTTTTAATTATCCCCTCCACATTCTCTCCTTTTCCCATTCTTAAATATGGTTTATAATTTAGAGTTATTTTTAAATGGAATTACTATTGCTTCCAGGACAAGTCTTGGCGTGTACGATACATGGTCGCCAATCAGTTGTATGACCTGTGTGAAGCTGTTGGTCCTGAGCCCACTAGGTAACATCTATAATCATGTGGCATGAACTGTTATATTTTCTGCTGTCCTGGCATCTTTGTTACACCTGCTTTCTGCCATTTTTCCTTCCTCCATTCCCCATGATCTCTATTGATGAATTTACATGTTTCTCTCTATTTAATTAGAAATCTATGGAACCAGCATGGGCCAGTTATCCGATATCATGCTTTGGCTATACACTACTTATTTATTTAAATTAGTTTTTAATGAACTTTGTTTTTTGGATGTGCATATCAACTATCATGAAATTATATTGTAAGGCTTACATGTTTAGGTCGGACCTAGTACCTGCATATGTTCGCCTACTTCGTGATAATGAGGCTGAAGTAAGGATATCTGCTGCTGGAAAAGTAACTAAGTTTTGCCGAATTCTGAATTCTGAATTAGCAATTCAGAACATTCTTCCTTGTGTCAAGGTAAAAATGCTTAAGGAATACTTTGACTACTTCATCCAAGTTCACTTCATTTCTTTTGGTGTTCTAGTTTTTCCACTCTTGCTATGTTCTGATTTAGTTAGTGTCACCTACTGTAGGAACTATCAACAGATTCATCCCAGCATGTTCGTTCTGCTTTGGCTTCAGTTATAATGGGAATGGCGCCCATTTTAGGGAAGGTAAAAACACTCCTTTTTTGTGCTCAGATAGTCCACCTCTATGAAATTCATTTATGGAAATAGTGTAGGTTTCATGATGTTTTCTGGTATGTTTCACTCTATACGTGCAATAACATTATCTCATTTGATGGTTGTAGGATGCGACCATAGAGCAATTGCTTCCTATATTTCTTTCTCTTTTGAAAGATGAATTTCCAGATGTCCGGCTGAGTATCATTAGCAAGCTTGATCAAGTCAACCAGGTGGGACACAATTTAAGATTTTATTAGTAACTGTTTCATCAGATTTTTTCAAACTGTTTGCTTGGCAACTGATTTTGGTTGAATGGTTCTTATATTTTCTATGTTTGACTGAGAAGTGAAAGTAAACCCGTTACTAGTAACTGCTAAGCTAAGAGAAAATACGGCATGGTTACTTATATGACCATAGAGATTGTTGAGGGATTCAGATTGTCAAATTTTAACTTTTTAAAATGTATCAAAATAAAGAAGCCTTTCAGATCAATTAGCTAAATAAGGCCATAACTTGTGTGTATGCATCTTCCTGCTTGCATAATTCTCAATTTATCAATCCAAAATGATTTTGATGGAAATTTCTTCCATGCCCTTCAACCCTCCTAAATAAAGCTGTTGGATATCTAGTTGATACCAAGTTCTTTCCAGCTAATAGTGTGTTATGAAGATTACTTAGTACAAGTGAGAGCACCTAGGCTGCAAAACCTAGGATGATCTCCAACCAACCTTACCACCCGAGCCATGCCGGTGTGGCATTGTGTTATTGATTTATTAATAATATTGACTGGCACTTATCGCCTGCAGTTTCGTTATTTCTTGGCTTGATATTTTAATCATTTGTTTTGGGCGGGGTAGTAGAAAGTTCTACTACTGGGGGCAAGTTGGTGAAAATCTCTCATATATTCAAATGCCTCACATTGTTAACATGCCCATCATTGCAGGTAATTGGAATTGATTTGCTGTCCCAGTCCTTATTACCAGCAATCGTGGAACTTGCAGAGGATAGGCACTGGAGGGTTCGGCTTGCAATAATAGAATACATACCTTTATTGGCAAGCCAGTTAGGTGTTGGCTTTTTTGATGACAAACTTGGTGCACTCTGCATGCAATGGTTAAAAGATAAGGTGCAAAGTCGAGTTTATGTTCTTGTTTCTTTACGATTCTATTTCTCTTCGAGTGTCTCTTGTCAGAGAGTGGAGATAACCGATATTAACTCGGAACTTAATATTGTAATATCATCACAAAATAAAATTTGCTAACTTCATAGGTATAATTGTAGGTTTATTCCATCCGTGATGCTGCTGCAAATAATGTGAAGCGCCTGGCAGAAGAATTTGGACCAGAGTGGGCATTACAGCACATAGTTCCACAGGTCAGTCTGCTTATGCTAACAAATCTATTGACAAATCATAGGTATAATTTTCTTCTTTTTTAACAAATCTATACGAGCAAGAGAAAAAGGGAGGTACCCGAAGATGATGCTGGGTTCTGTTGACAGGTTTTGGACATGATAAACAACCCACATTATCTATATCGGATGACCATTCTACATGCGATTTCACTACTTGCCCCTGTTATGGGCGCAGAAATTACTTGTTCAACCCTTCTCCCCGTGGTAGTTAATGCTTCAAAAGATTGGTAATGCCGATACAACTTTGATTTGAAACTATTTAATCCTAATTATTCAGACTAATTATGAGACCGAAACTTGCATTATCAAAGGGTACCGAACATCAAATTTAACGTGGCCAAGGTGCTGCAGTCGATTACCCCTATAGTCGATCAATCTGTAAGTATATATTTACTTTGGTTTTAATATCTGTCATGTGGTAGAATTTGAGTGTTTACACTTTACATTATGATTTTCAGGTGGTGGAGAAGACGATCCGACCATGTCTAGTTGAACTGAGCGAGGATCCGGATGTCGATGTCAGGTTTTTTGCCACCCAAGCCCTACAAAGTGATCAGCTCACCATGATGTCTAGCTAGAACCCGAGATTAATTGTATCTCATTTAGCCCTTTTTTCTGTTCTGTTTTGTTTTAATTCTTTTTCCTTTTGTTAATTGTAATTTTCTTTACCCGTTTAAACTCAAACTCAGTTGCAATATAAATATGCAAGTTTTGCTGAGTTCTTTATATGAAACAATCTCATGGTGCTTTTTACTAGATGACAAGAAAGTTCCGGTCGATGTCGAGTGCCTTCCGGAATAGGCCTGATCATCAGCAAGTCTCCGATGGCAGTGAGGAGCTTGATGAATGACCGAAGCAGCGGAGGAACAGGTAGGGATGGGCATGGGTCGGGTTTTGGGTCCACCCGACCTGACCCGATGAAATTATAATTTTCCGATAGACAATTACAAAATCCGACCCGACCCGGCCCGATTTAATTTTTTATTATTAAAACCCACGCTTGGTCGGAGAAGAGAAAGAAGATGAACAAAGCTGATACAGTTTTCATGGTTTAGTGTTTATTGCATGAAGCTCGGTGCATAGCACATGCTCACCACCTTCAGTTATTTTTCTTTTGATTTTAAGCTTTATCTCCAGTTTTAGGTATATTGGTGGGTTCATTTTTTTTGTTTGATTCATTAAATGAAGGTGTTGGTTTCAAATGTGCCAACCCATAAGTCTTGGTGAACAAAACCAAATAAACTTGGACCACTAATAGGGAATTTTAAAAATTTGGGAGAACTACTATTCTCAAGAAACACAAGAAAATGGAATTTTGAAAGTTGCCGGGTAGGAATAGTCAAAGTAAAAAAAAATTAATAATAATTATATATTAACTATTCGGGTCGGGTAGGATTATTTTAACCCTAAATCCGACTCCAACCCAACTCTAAATATTTTAATATAAAATCCAACCCGACCCGACTCGAATCTAAATTTTTTAAAAAAAATTTGACCGATCAAATCGGATCGGTTCGAAATCCGTCGGGTTCGGATTTCATGCCCATCCCTAACTACAATTTGTATTTATTATCCATTTTGATAATTAAGCAGAAAAAAATATTCAAAGCTTCTAGAGTGGCACGTGGCAGCTCGAGGTTTCAGAGTTTACTTATGCGAAAATTCTTTGTACTTCCATGGATAATTACTTGTTATTTCTTTTTCCATAAATTATTTGCAAATAAAAAGGGTAAATTGTGCTGGTAATCATTGAATTTTTAGAAATATTTTATTTTGATCACCAAATTTTTTAAACTTATATTATAATAAAGTCGAAAGTAAAAGTTACAACTTTTAAATATGTCACTATAAACCGTTGGATCAACTTAAAACTAAATTATGTTAATCTTTTAACTAAACAGATCCTTTCCATCGTTGTGATTGATCGACGACCGTGGAAGATTAAGGTTTTTGGGGGAAGACAATTGAACGTCCTGTGTCATTATTTCTTAACCGAAATGATCAAAACAAAAACGAATTAAAATTTGCTTATAATAATATAAGTTTTGAAAATTTAATGACAAAAATATAAATAGTTTAAAAGCTCAACGCCCACCAGTATAGTTTATCCATAAAAGAATTTTAGTCAATGCACATTTTATATATTTAAACGTCATAAGAGAAAACAGAAACCCACAGTAATCCATAGATTAGTAGTAATTCATTGACCTCCAAAAGAATGTGTCCACATAATACTGGAAAATCAGGATCAGCTCCACCACCATCAGCACCACCAGCAGCGGCTTATCCACCACAGATTCTGGCTCTGCCTGATAACAAACTAAATGAATGGTCCACCGGCTTCTGTAGCTGCGTTGAGGATTCTTCGAGCTGTAAAGATTTAGTCCCCCTATTGTGATTTATTCTTACAAACAGTATTCTAATTTAAACTTTTGTTCTTCATCTATTGTGCTTTGAAGGCTTCACCTTGCTGCTGTCCCTGCATCACGTTCGGCCAAAATGCCGAAATCATCGACCTAGGAACCACAAGTACTAACTATCCCTCCTGAATTTAATTTTTGAGTAAACTACTCTTTTCATCACTCAACTTCGACTATATTCCTGTCTTGGTCTTTGAACTTTTTAAAGATTTAATTTGATCACTTAACTTCTGAATTATTACATTTTCGGGTGTTAAATAAAAAACAACGGGATACTTAGAATTTCATTTTTCATCTCATGTAGTCTTGGATACTATCATTCTTTAGCGTATTCTCTTGCTATACTAGACACTGAAGAGCTCGTCTCATCATCCTTTAGCACTATGTTGGTTTATATTTTCGTAAAATCTCTTTAAAATTCATGAAACATAAACTCAACTTAAAATAAACGACTCCAATCTGATATCGCATCATTGGATCACCATGAAAATCAAAATACATTGTTGGTTTCTCTTCCATCTTCCCACTATTCGGATATGGTATAGATGCTCCAGCGTCGTAAAATCGAAGGAAACCAAAATGCTAGGTTAAAAATTTGGAAAGTAAGATTTCAGGTGTATTTTTACAAATCCAAAATAAAATTTTGAGACATTTTTGTAATTTTAAAAGATAGATGTTGTTTCATAACAATGTTAAATAATTAAAGGTAAATTACGCATTTAGTACCTAAGCTAACAGTTTTGATATGTTTTAGTACCTAAACTTTTTTTTTCAAAACTATACTTAAAGTTTATATTTATTTAATTTAGTACCCCACCATTAAAAAATTTAGTTTTTGTTTTATTTTAGTATTCTCGTTCAAAATTTAACGTTAAGTTTTGAAAAAATTGAAAGTTTAGGTACTAAAACGGACAAAACTAATAGTTTAGGTATAATCACGTTAAGTTTTTAATGGTATACTAAAATGAAATGAAAACTAAACGTTAGGCATATTTTGAAAAAATTGAAAGTTTAGGTACTAAAACGAAACAAAACTGATAGTTTAGGTATTAAATGTGTAATTTACTCAATAATTAACAATGAAAGATAAAAAAAGCAGAGGAATGCAAAAAGTTGAATGATCAAACTAAATTTTTTAAAAGTTTAAGGACCAACACATTAATATAATAAAAGTTGAGTCATGAAACTTATAGTTTACTCTTTTCTTTTATGTGTCCCTAAAGGATTTAAATAGCGTCCGCGATCGCGATAGCATCCGTTATATAGAGGTAGTGGTACTTTCCGCGATCGTTATTGTATGACCGCGATACTCGCCATCACCGTAATAGCATCCGCTATATCCGCAATCGCGATAAGCGCAATGCGACCGAAAACGCAACAAACACGAATAAAGATGGAAAATTTGGTTATGGTGTTGCAGGCTGGGTAACTGCAGGATTGGTTTATTTGTTGCTGGCGCCCGTATGCTGTTCGTGGGCGTACACATGGACGTATCGGAGGAAGCTAAGGATCATGTACGGGTTAAAAGAAGGCCCTTGTGCTGATTACATCGTTCATTGTTGTTGCCAATTCTGTGCTGTTTCCCAAGAATACAGGGAGCTTCAAAACCATGGCTTTGACCCTTCCGTAGGTAAATGATAATAAGTTATAATTTGGTTTGATCAATGGGCTGAAATGACTTTGGTCTATGACTTTATGCGTCGGAACAGGATGGATCGCCAATGCTGACAGGTTGAACCTCGGCGGAGCCAGGCCGATGGCACCTCCACCTACGGCAACACCCATGGCTCGTTAATTGCGAGAGATGTCTCACCATAATTCAAAGTTTAATTTGAGTAGCTTCAGTTGGTGAATTAGCTACGAGCATTTATGATGATTTGTTATAAATTATCACTAAAGTTCTTTTTAGTTAAAGTTGAAAATATTACGGTGTGATATTGTAATAAAAAAATAGATTGAATAAATAAAAGGGTAAATTACACCAATCATCACTGAACTTTACTCTATCTCCTATTTCACTCATTATACTTCAAATTTGTGCAATTTCTTCACTGAACTTAATACATTTGGTTTTTTTGTCACCTCATTGTTTTCTCACTGACGGCGTTATAAATTGGTTGTTATATAGATGTAAAACGATATTGTTTTGGTGAAAATTTTATTTTTTTAAAACGACGTCATTTTAACTATTTAACTATTTAACAACGGAGTGACTAAAAAATCAAATGTATTAAGTTTAGTGAGAAAATTAAACGGGTTTAAAGTACAATAATCAAATTATTCGAGCAAAGAAAAATTGAAAGTAAAACTAAAAATACAGGGATTTGTAAAAGAAAAGGACTAGAAAATATCAAATTATAATTGAAGGTATAAATCAACCAACAATGCATATTGTAATGAACTTTTATAAATTTATCCAAAAATATATTTACAAGGGAACGAAAGAAATATGAGTATAAGGATAAGGATATTGTATACAGTTTCTGAAATGACTGAATACACAAGATTATTAGAAGGGCAAAACTTTCGAGATAATGTTTTGGAAGAAGTTAATTCACGAGATAATGCACTCCCAATATTAATTGTTTAAATAGGGTGAAATCCACAGTATTGGTCGTAGGTCGCCATGCCTTCCGGGCGACCTACTAGATCGCCATGTCTTCCCGGCGAGCTATGAGAGATTGCATGTGCCATGCACGTCCCAACACGCTGGACATCCGAGGCCATCCGACCGAGCTATGCGAGAGCATCCGAGGCCATCCGACCGCGGCTATCCAAGGGAATCCGAGGGTAGCCGAGCGAGCTATGCGAGGGCATCCGAGCGAGCTATGCGAGGGCATCCGAGCGAGCTATGCGAGGGCATCCGAGCGAGCGAGCAAGGGTAGGTCGCCCGGAGAGCATGGCGACCTACAAGGTCGTCTGAAGGGCATGGCGACCTATGTGTTGGGACGTGCATTTGCCATGCAACACGTTCATTCTCTCTGTGAGTTCGCCGGGAAGCTTGCCACGTAGTAGGTCGCCCAGAAGGCATGTCAACCTACGACCAACACTGTGGATTTCACCCTATTTGAGCAATTAATCTGGGGAGTGCATTATCTCGTGAATTAATTTCTTCCAGAACATTATCTCGAAAGTTTTGCCTATTAGAAGGCTTAGTTACAAAATAAGTGGCTAAATTATACCATTTTTTTAAAAAACAGGTGTCCAATTTTTTTAATTATTCAATTGTCTAATGTTATAAACGTTATAATTTTAGGTGTCTGAGACGTAGTAGCCATTAATAAATTTCGTTAAGTGACACATGTTATGCTCCGATAATTTTATTTTTTTTAAAATTAAAAGACTATTATATTTATAAAAAAACCCTTATTCTTTCCTAAAATTACAAAAAGCCCCAAATACCTAAAAAAATATAAATCCATGACCCTAATCCTAACCTCCCTTGTCGGTCACAGCCTCAATTGTCGATGTTGCCCTTGCCATCTCCCTAATAGTCTGTCGTCTCCATTGTTGTCGTGTGTGTCGTTGGATCGTCAGTTTGTCGCAAATTTAGGAGTTTGAATTCGTTGGAAATGCAATTTTGGGTCATGATTTTACCATTTCCTTCGTCGGAGACGCGATGTTTATGGTCGGGTTTGGTTTGTCGTAGGGTGAAGGTTCTGGTGGAGGTTCGATTGAAGTCAAACGGTGACAACCAGTTGACTTTAGAGATTGAAATTAGAGTTTTCAAAATTTTGAAGTTTTTAAAAAAGTTTGAAAATTAGGTTTTTTTAAATATGTGTTTTTTGTTTTAAATTAAAATTTTAAAATAACCATAATATGACACGTGTCACTTAAAGATGAAATTTAACGACCGGTATGTCCCGGGCACCTAAAATGATAACATTTGTAACGTTAGTCACCTGAATGATTCACAAAATAACTTTGGGCACCTATTTGAGAAAAGTGATATAGCTTGAGCACTTATTTTATAATTAAGCCATATTAGAATTGAGATAGATTAAATCCAACAAAAATACATACTATAAGGACCTTTTTTGTAAAAGTAACCTAAAAATATACTTCTAATAAATAAAAGGACCTTTTCAAAATTTTACCTGAATTAAAAGAGGACGCCGTTGCCGGGGATCGAACCCGGGTCACCCGCGTGACAGGCGGGAATACTCACCACTATACTACAACGACTTGTTGATGCCGG